GCAGGGTCCTCCAGAAGGCAGTGTATGCTTTGCATCAGCGTCCAATATATGGTACAGTTTCTCCTATAGCCAGGATTCATGGGTCCAGGAATCAAGGGGTGGAAGTGGGAATGATTCCACTCACTATCACCCCTGGTGACCCTCTATGAAAATTTTTGCTTCCTGTACCCTCAACTTTGCACTCTACTAGCTTGGATGTTTTGGTTCCAGAAGAGGGAGTGCTTCTGCCAGGAGAGACAATGAACATTCCATTGAATTGGAAGCTAAGACTTCCCCCTGGACATTTTGGGCTTCTGATGCCCTTAACTCAGCAGGCTAAGAAAGGAATAATTGTATTAGGAGGAGTGATTGACCCAGACTACCAGGGGGAAATTGGACTTCTTCTCCTCAGTGGAGGTAATGAAGATTATATCTGGAAGGCAGGAGATTCCTTAGGACGTCTTTTGGTGTTACCATGTCCTGTGATTAAGGTCAATGGGAAACTGCAACAACCTAATCCAGACAGGACAACAAATGGCCCAGACCCTTCACGGATGAAAGTATGGGTCACTCCTCCAGGGAAGAGCCAAGACCTGCAGAGGAGCTTGCTGATGGTGGAGGAAATACAGAATGGGTAGTAGAGGAAGGTAGTTACAAACACCAACTTAGGCCATGTGACCAGTTGCAGAAATGTGGATTGTAGTTGACATAAGTATTTTTGTCCTATTTGTTTAAGATTAGGCATTTGCATGCATCCACATATGTTAAGCAGATACTTGTGTTATTCTTTTTGACTGTGTAATTGAGATAAGTGTTAAGTGGTTAAGTGTTGTGAACCTATATGATTATATTGGGTTATGAGACACTAAAGGACTAAGCATTCCTCAAAGACTTTATCATCTACACTAAGATATATAATGCATTGGTCATTGTATGATGGGATAGTTATATCATGTTAGGTGAAATTATGACTTCAACATTGTTTTCATTTCAAAATTAAGCATCACATAGTGAGATGCTATTGGGTGTCAAGTTGACAAGGGGTGGACTTGTGATGGCTAATCCTGGGTGTTAATTTGACTGGATCTGGGATTAACTGAAATGAGAGAGATCTTAACTGGATCATCTGAAGCTGGAAGACACACCCTAAATGTGGGTGTTACCTTCTGATGGCAGCCCGTATAAAAGGCCATAGCAGAGGAGAGCACGTGCTTTTTAGCACTTGCCTTCTCTCACTGGTGAGTTCATCTTGCTGCTGTAGACGGAAGACTAGCTGATCTTTTGGAATTCGTCAGACCTTCAGTGCCAGATTGGAACTATTGAGACATCCAGCCTCATGGATTGAGAGACTACGGATTCTCAGCCTCTCTAGTGTGGTGCAGCCATCGTTGGACTACTCGGACTCTATCTTGTGAGCTAAGCAGATAAATCCCTACATATATATATATA